TTTCTAATGAGCCGTTTGAGAGATCGAAACCTCTAAGGCAGTATATTATTCAGGCATTTCGGTATTTCAATTGAGAAAGAGAATATAACTGTTGAAAAACACAAGAAAGCAATGTAAGAAACGGACAAGGAGATTGAAAGACTAGATCGCAGGATAGATACGAAACAACAGAGTGGTAAATTTTAACACGAAAGCTGCGAGAAAGAGTTGAGTGTGGTGCGATTCAGAATTGTCACATAGGAAGATATGCGAGCGAAAGGCTCAGAAATGCGCCCCAAGAAAAAGTGTAGACGGAAGCGGTGTCTATGAGCTAGCACATATGAAAGTAGCAGCAGGTTCAAAAATGAACCGAGGTTCACAGCTGCTAAAGAGGCTGCGCTGTAGAGGAGAGACCGCCAAAGGCGAGAGTAAATGCAGGGAAGTGCTGTGCCAAAGGAGTTCTAGCGAAAAAGCTAACATAGTTGTAGACCATTTGGCACAGACACCAAGTGAAACTGTCCCGACGAAGGATCTTGCATGTAGGGTCCAACGAAATCTCGACCCGCCAAACAAGAACACCAGCGTTAGGCCAGCCGAGTGTAAGGAAGCAGCGCAGGGTAGAGGAGCTGTGGACAGCTCCCAGGCATGTGAGCTGCGTTCACGTAAGTGTGTCGCCACGGTGGTTTCTGCATGCGGTGTCCAAGAGGATTTCGAACCGCTAGTCACGGACACCAGGGTGAATTCAGGAGATGGAGTGATAGTAGATATTAGTGAATACAATGTAGTTGTGGGCAGCTCCCAAGAATGCAAGCTAACTTGGTCAGAAGAAAACGGCTGCATTTTTACTAGATGCGTTAAGCTGTCCGCCAGTCTGGAGAGTGAAGAAAGATTTGCACGCAAATCATTTAGACTGCGCCGGCAAGACAGCTAACGAAACCTGCGAGTGTGCTGGTGAGGAACAGATGCAAGCAAAAGGCTAAGAAATGCGCCCCAAGAAAAAGCATAGACAGAAGCGGTGTCTATGAGCAATGATTGCGATCAAAAGCACAGCCCGCTTGAAGGCAGTAGACGTTTGAACGTAGTAAGACGAATGAGACGTTTGTCATTAGCGCAGCACTTGTTTTGCATGCGTCCAAGCCGCTGGACCAGGAGGGAAAGAAGGGTGCATTGGGCGAGCACGCAGACAAAAGGAAGAGGACAGTCAGCCTACCGTCGTTCTATCCACAGCACGTTTAATGGGGCGCGGGAGTACAAGCTCAGTCGCTCACAAGAGGTAGCTGAGCGGAGGGAAGAACACAGGTCGCCAGCAAGGAGCTTGGTGGGGTTCGGAGGCAAGCGAATGGGTTTTGCCATTGTGGCATTCTCCGTTTGCCAAAAAAGGCCCGCTGGGCGTGACCACCGTGCGTTCGTCTGAAGAATGAGTGACAGGCGTGAGCTTTTGAGGACAGTCACTAGTGGATTTGCTTTGACTATTTAACTTTGGGTTTTAGAATATGTTCTTTAAGTGTCTCGGCTACTAGATAGTTATTCAGTAGCCAATTGTAAGTTTCTTTTATTGCTTAAGTAGTGTACGTTTTTGTTTTAAAGAGGCCGTAAACCACCTCCAATATTTTTTTCAAGCATTTCAAGTAAATGCGCGCATTGTGTGCATAATGCCGTCGCGATCAACCGTTCTGCATGTGGCAGCGTTATGGTCTGCAGGCACACTACGAATTCCAAGAAACAATCCCTCCTCCTTTCCGGGCCTCCACATGGCGCGCTGTGCAGCATTTCTGACGCGCCAAGCCAAATATGCTGTGACTGATCGAGCAAGAGCCTACAATTTCCGATCAGTCTGCAAGCAGCTGTCCAGGCTGCTTGTTGTTGTTCGTCGTGTTCTTCAGGTGCATGTAACACGTGCAGGGCACGGCTTGTCCCTGTACGGGTCCACCGCATTGGAAATCATTTCACGGTGTGCGCGCAACGCAGGTTCCATATCGGCACGATTACGGCAGCCACGGTTCGCCAACAAGCACGCAACTGATGGAGTTGACAGCCAGAGTTGCAGCAACCAGAAGTAGATGGTGTTTCAAGTAGCGCGCCAGCGATGATGTATGCCAAGTGAGATTGGGAGGGGCATGGGAGGGGCGCGAAAAATTCTCACAGCTCCGTGTTCGTCGTACACTTGTGCACAATTTCCCCTCCAACAACTCAATTTCGACCTCTGGGTGGTTTACGGGCCCTTCAAGGTAAGCGTTATGTGATTGCATAATGATGCGCATAGGAGCGTTTGTCAGGGTAGATACGAGAAGGTGAGCAAAAGCGACGTTAGGAGCCCATTATGAGTGAGCACGGAGACGCAAAAATATTCTTGGGAATTTTTGCAAGGTTCATGCAAAAGTTTTTTGTTGATTGATTGCTTTATTCGAATGTGCCCGGTGTGGTCATGAGTAAGAAAAGGTAGTTCCTAAGTTTATGTGTATGTTTTATAATAGTGGTAATCACAAGGGAGAGTTATTTACTAGTTCATCCACGCAGGAACCCTATAACGTGTGTTTGCGGACGTGTAATGTGGATGTTCCTGGTGCTGGTGCAGCACGACCATTATCTCTTCCTCAGCTCAAAGGAAACTGAGGCTAACTTTGGCTGCACAAAATTTTGGGGACCAAAGAATAACGTGAAGTGAAAGGCTTTTTTTTTTATGAGTATGAGGCCTGGTGGGCTTAGAGCAGATTACTGACGCTGGCACACAAGTATGCCACGAAGACCACATGACTTCGGAGATAATTTTCTTGCAAGCAGTTTGATAGAAAGATTATTCTCGAAAAGAGATTGAGAGCTTCGGCGAAAGCTCAGAAAAACGTTTCGACTGCTGCTTTGAGTTTTGTTATGCTATTAAAGGAAGGTTGGTTTTAGATAATTTTTCGGACTCAATGTGTCTCAGTGCGGGCAAGGCGCTCTCCCGTGCCTGTGTGAGTATATCCTTATTCGCAGAAGGAAAGCAACAAGGTGCAAGTGGAAAAGGGTCCTTGGCTGGCGTCATCAGCAAGGGCCTGGAGGATGCCACAACACATTAACACTTGAGCAACCTGTCCGGCTGTTCACCTTCAGGTCAAGTCTAGATTTGTGGGGTTTTACGTCCCAAAACCGCTATATGATTATGAGAGACGCCGTAGTGGAGGGCTCCGGAAATTTTGACCACCTGGGGTTCTTTAACGTGCACCCAAATCTGAGTACACGGGCCTACGACATTTCCGCCTCCATCGGAAATGCAGCCGCCGCAGCCGGGATTTGAACCCGCGACCTGCGGGTCAGCAGCCGAGTACCTTAGCCACTAGACCACCGCGGCGAGGCCTTCAGGTCGAGTCTCCCACCAGTTGAGTTGTTACGAGCGGCACCCAGGGAGACAAAGGAGCAGCGCTCTTTAATCCTACCACAAGTCGTCGCAAGGCTGCCGGCCTATGTTTGCCGTGTATAGTCTTTTAGTATAGGGAAGCGAGGCCCCGTGCCGTAAGTTGCTGTAAACAGTTCCCCGAGATGACCACAATGGTTTCTGCAGACACATCTTCTTTGGAAGATACAGCGGCGACAGCCGCAACTTGCCCCGCTAATTGAGCGAGCAGTCTTGTGGCCCTTTTGATGTATCCTGTCATCTCTGCGGGGGACCCCTCACCCAGTGGCTCTTACACGAGATGGAAGAGCCACGTTCGTGCCACATTGCAGAACAGTGACCACGCCTCGTTTACCTTGGCGGGTGTGGGCGTTACTCTCTCACGTTGTGTGTGACATTAGATTGGACAGTGCAATCTGCACCCAATCCCCGATCTAGGGGAAACGCACCCTTTATAATGAGCTACCCGGCTCATTGAAGAGCTCGCTATGTACAGAATGTAAATAAACCTTATGTTAAGTTCACCTTCCTACTGCCTCGGCATCCTCATCCAGGATCACCGGCACCTGGAAAGGCCGGTCGCAAAATTTACATGCACAGGGCTGCTGAACCAGAATGCAGCATGCCTGTCAATGATGATGACTGAATGGCGCACTCATATTAATATTTCATGCTCATATTAATAGAATATTTCTGTCAAATTTGTTTGTAAAACTTGTTTCAGGTTTCCATGATATACTTAACTAGCAACTATGCCCCACCACGGAACTCTGGGATACGATCTCGGCATATGGCCCCATCAACGAGCACGTGGCAGTAGACAGAAGGCTTGATCGATTTTTCTTTGTGACAAGGGCACAGCAAATGATCAAAACACGTGCGCTATGCCAAACAATCTGCCGCACAAATGTAAACTCGGCACGGCCACCGATACACATGTGTTCCATTAGATCTGTGATGGAGGACGAAAGACAGACACTGAAGTCGCGTGCAAGTGATGCATAGCAGTTACATGCTGAAGAAAATGCTATCACTGGCAGCTCCAAGCTATCAATTGCACCAGCAGTGCAGGCATGTCCAACACTGCCTGTATGCAAAAGCACGCAGCAAAACATTTTCATAAGGAGTAAAGGCATCTCTTTTATATTGTAATCATGTCATAAGCAAACCTATGACACATGCAGCAAACAAACTATCAGAAGCATTTAGCAGCCCTTCGAGGTTCACTGTAGCCTTCAGGATAGCACGAATAGCACTCGTCACCACAGTGCAATCCTGTAGACCACACCTTCACAGCTCATTGATAATGAGCAAAATAAGTTACATGGCTAACATATAAAAGCACATGTATTAGTAACTGGTTTTAGCAGCACAGTCCATGACCATTAAAAATGGCCCTGCTCCTCCAAGCCAAGTCCTACATTACATAGTCAATCAAAAGAACTGGTTTTCTTTCCCAAAATAGATTTTGCTCCTTGTTGTTAAGGGTTTAATTAGTGTTGTAATAATATAGGAAATAATCAAAGGCTATCAAGTATGCACTGCACAAAAGCTGTCTGTCTCACGGTAAAGTGGCAAAATTGGAGCATTTTCAGTGCAGTAAAAATGCATTATATTGATGCGCGAGAGAATATGCTAGCTTACTCCTTACCAGACACAATAGTGATTGGTCCAGTTATAGTGCTCACAAACTGCCTTGTGAAGTTCTTAATGAGGCACTGCAAAAGGGTTGTTTTGCCAACTTTTGGAGGCCCAACAACAGCCACAATGTATGGTGGTGGCTCAACTGGGGTGCGATCGACAAGGGGGACGTGGTGTCGCTTCTCTTGTAAGTCCTTAGCCCTTGAAAGAGAAATTCAGGAATTACTTTGCTTCATGTTAGAATATTAAAGAGAAAGGCCATACCCAAACTGTAAAATATTCAGCACTGATTTAAAATTCAGGTTTCTTGGAACATAGTCAAAGAATGAGAATACTGAGGTGTTAAATGTTCAATAAAAGAGAATTTATATGAGAGTAATGATGGTGTCACTCCTCTACACTAAAGGAACAACATAAGAGACTTGCGAACGAAGACATAATAAATATGTACAATAAAAAATTGAACTCAATGAACAATACATGCTCTATTTTCAAAATGAGCGTAATTATTAGTCAATGACAAACAACTGCATGCAATGAAATACACCTAGTCGCGTACATATCTCTCGAGTAGGTTCAAGATACCAGCCTTATAAACAGTGTCTTATTCCATTACTCTTTATGTTAATTTAATTATTACATCATCGCAGACGAAATGCCAGTTATATCTCTAGCGCTATTAGCCTTGAAGAGAAAACAGCGTTGAAAATTTAAACGAACACAATGGAAAACAGAAGATGCCAGGCGCTGCCGCCGTCGTCGTCTGCATTCCTTTGTGTTCGTTTAATTTTATAGCGGCGCACAATGAACCAACTTGCCCGAGCTTTAACTCTAGCAAGCAATTAGTCTATATAATTTATTTATATGGCATAAAACGAGAGTTCACACTTTCTTGTTGCGTTGTTTTTGCACTACGCGCCACTGCCTGCACATGCTTCATATCTAAAGCAGAATGAGCCAATCGAACGCAGATAAAAAGCAAGTACTTGGAACGCGATTGCGATACGCTATATGCGCATACAGCAAGACATTATAAGTGTTCACAGGAAACCATGCACTTCGTCGTACCGTGCGATGAAGCATACCAACCTTCTGAATTTTTTCTCTGCCTTCTGCACAGATTGGACAGAGAAGGCCTTCGGGTTTCGCTGCTTTGCCGTCAGTTCCTGAACATGTTCATTCTTCTTCTCTTTTTTGTCAGCTTTGCGACCACTGTGGCGAGCTCGGTGAGCTTTGGCTTTCTGGTCATCATCCATTGTAGCTGCCGCAGCCACGTGGGAAACACGGTGTAGGTGTGAGCTTCGAAACACGCCACCGAAACACAAAACAAGTGACCGCCACTAGTAAGTATTCCCTATATTAATACACTGAATTGCAACTCATTCCTGCGAGTGCAAATGAAAATACAAACGATTGCTTGACATGAACCCTGCACACACGCACAACGCAGGAGTCCCTTGACAAGTTGCACATGGCGAACCGGCACCCCCTATACTTTTTGTGCCTGCCGCGTGAGCACCGCCGCACCGGCCATGCCCTCTTTCTTTACTCTCTCGATTCTGCCCCTCAACGCCGCTTGGCGGCTCTGCGCTATTACCCTCCATACAATAGGCATGATGTTGTGAGAGGAATATGGAAAGGGGTCATGGTTCCTGGTCTGACGTTTGGCAATGCGGTCTTGTGCATGAGATCAGAAGTTCAAGCAAGATTAGAAATTAAGCAACATGAAATTGGTAGGCTTGCTTTAGGAGATCACGGGAATACACCAAATCAGGGAGTACAAGGTGATATGGGATGGACATCATTTTAGGGCAGGAAAGCTAGCAGCAAGATAAAATTTGAGAAGCGATTGAGAGAAATGGGGGAGGAGCGTTGGGCTAGGAAGGTTTTTAGCTACTTTTACATGAAGATTGTCGATACAAACTGGAGGAAGCGAACCAGGAAATTGACTGGAAAATACTTAGAAAAGAGCAGGTGGCCAAACCAAAAATAACTATCGGTTAAGAAGAAAGTGAAGAAAATGGAGACTGACATGTGGAGAATTGGCATGATTAACAAGTCCGCGCTAGAAATCTATCGAACTTTTAAGCAGTAAATTGCCAAGGAAAGGATCTATGATAATACCCGGCGTAGTTCTCTACTGTTTGAGGCCAGGACGGGAGTATTGCGAACCAAGACATATCGGGCCAAATACGAAGGGATAGACATGGTATGCAGTGCATGTGGAGATGAGGAGGAAACTGCCGAACACTTGATAGTGTTCTGTAAAGGGCTTCAACCTATAGTTCAAGATGATGGCGCAGAGTTTTTCAAAGCACTGGTGTTTGGGGACAGAAAGGGCAAAGTAGACTTTAAGCGGGTAGAATTAACTAGAAGAAGGTTGTCTGATTGGTGGCTAAAGTCAAGGCACGAGTGAAAATTAAACCCTTCACTGCAAAGTACCAGTCCTCAACTTTACTATTTAAAGAAAAAAAAGACAAATCTAGTCGTTAGTTCACTAAATATTATGGCTAGGTGGCATTAGCCACCGCCCATTCTAAAGGGTACAGCCACATCCATCCATCTATAGAGTTACTGTATATGCTACCTTTAGGTGGCATATACAGTAACTCTAACCCCCCAGGACTACCGGCCACTCACAGTCACCAGCACTATGTACAGGCTTTTTACCCTGGATAAGTGGATGGGCCGAATGTAAAGGGCAGCTTTCAGAGCTGCACAATGGTTTTCGCACAGGGCGGGGACTTGACGAGAACCTTTTCGTTCTCATACAATGTATGGAGATCGCCAGGAAAGAAGGACGTTCATTGTTATGCTGCTTCATGGATGTCCAAAAAGCCTACGACAATGTCCCACATGATATCTTGTTCACTCGTCTAGCCACATTGGGTATGCCGGAGAAGCTATTGGCGACAGTGAGGCGTCTCTACGCCAACAATAGCATCATTGCCCAATTCGCCAATGTGAAGAGTGAGCCGGTAAGCGTGTGCAGGGGTCTTCGGCAGGGATGTCCGCTTTCGCCGATTATTTACCTGCTATACGTGTCGGGCATGGAGCGAGCACTACTCCAGTCCAGTCTTGGATTCCGCCTGAAGTATAGCACAAGCGTAATCAATAAAAATCGACGGTTGCCTGGCTTGGCCTTTGCGGATGGCGTGGTATTAATGGCTGAAAGCAACGCAGAGCTGCTGGCACTCCTGGACATCTGTGCGACAGAAATGAGTTCACTGGGCTTACACTTCAACGCCAAAAAAACCAAGGTTGTGCCATTTGCTGGCAACATCGCTGAAGCTGTAGATCTCAAGCTGGGAAGTGAGAACATTGCCATAGAGACTACATATAAGTACCTGGGTGTGCTACTCTGCTCTGAGGCCAGCATATATAATCAGCAGGAAGCCCATATCCGCCAAGCCTGACTGCATGCTGAGAGCATTCTTCGGCGTCACATCTTGTGGGGGTGCAACCGCTTCATCATGGTGCGGGACATATGGAAACTGGTGCACGTTCCCTGCCTGACATTTGCCAACGCAGTAGTCTGCATGACAGCCGCCACCAGAGAATCCATGGCTGGAGCGGCGGCAACGAGAAGTTGGCCGCATGGCGCTTGCACACGTGCCATGGAAGATCGAGTGGCAACCAAGACAGGGGGACCTCGGCTGGTCTGGTTTTGAAGCGCGCGAGGTCTCCAACAAGTTAGTGTGCAGGGGTCTCCTTCAATTTATGTGCAGAGAGCGCTGGGCAAAACAGGTATTCGAATACCTTGCGGCAACGTGTATGCGTACAACTTGGGTGAACCGGGTGTACCGACTAGAAAAGAAGTACGTATCATTCACAGAGCCGGTACAGGCGGAAACTTCAAGACTCTATACCAAGGAGGTGCGTGAACGGGTACGCGACAAGGAGGAGGAGCTATGGCAACACGCAATGAGTGGAAAAGCTACTCTCGAACTTTACCGCAACATTAAAAGCACGATAGGCTCAGCTCGCATTTACGACAACAGCACCGGGAGTTCGCTTCTGTTCGAGGCACGAGCCGGCGCGCTTCTAACTCTTTACGTACAAGAGAACGATCAGTGGGGAGACGGCTTCGGTGCTGTGTCGTGCCTGCGGGTGTACGGACGAGACAATTGCGCATCTTCTGATTGAGTGCGGACAGATAGGACTCCCGCGCGCGGAGTCAATGCGCTCCGCGCTGGGCTTTGCGGAGGAAGATGAAGAGACTGATCTGCAGGCAGCGAGAGTGTTGATGCGGCGCCTTGAACGCTGGAGGGCAGTGGTTGTGGTATATTCTAGTGCAATATAGTTGTGGCACAGTTGTCGAGAACACAAGGTGACGCAGTGTAATGAGAGGCAGTGTCAAAGCGTAGTTGTGTTAGCAAACACAAACTGAGCGTACTCTTGTGCTTGTGCTTTCTTCTGATTTCCCCACCCCTTTCTGTTTGTTCGGTTTTCTTCCCTCTTGCTCGGCACGTCCGTTGGGTTTTTTATTGTTTTGTCTTACTTTTTTATTTTTTCTTATTTTTATTTTTCCCATCTGTGTGCTAGGGTGTCTTTACATATTATAAGTACACCCGCCCGTTAAAAAGGGAACAGCAGCAAATCATCATCATCTAGCAGACGACGTGCACCGGTTTTCTGCTCTTTTTTTTTTTGTCATCTGTTTAGAGTAATTGCGAACCTTGCTCGGAGTTGTTGCTATCACATTAAAATAAGTAGTATTCACGCGTAATAAATAATAAAGGTGAAATGAACTGTCAATATACCTCTTACCAGAGTGATAATTCACGTCCCAGTCACCTTGCAGACGACAAGTTTAACCCGTCGTTTGGTCGCAGTGGCAGTTGTAGGTCCGTCTGTTTGCTTCAGCGGTGATGTCATCCTGCTTTTCCATCGATCACAATGCGCTGCTGTTGCGTTCCGTTCTGCACTTCGTGCCAGCGAAAAAAAGAAGCAGATGTGTCCTCTCACGAAATTCCAGCGAACACTGCCCAGTCAAAAATATTCAATGGGTCCAACTGGAAAATTTCCATTTAAAATCAATGGGTGTTGGACCAGTAGGATTTTCGCCACCCATTGAACATTATCCCGTTCGAATCAATGGGTAAACCCTTATATTCCAAAGGGGGATCCAAGTGGCTCACCACTTCAATGCAACTGGTTCAACAGGGGACCCCATTGGCTACCAGTTAAGTGTGGCTGGTGCTGAGCAATTGCCAGTTAGTTGCAATGGTGCGCACCATTTGAAATTGGTTGGTGACAAACTGGTAGCCCCTTTGGCCTCACATGGCCAGCCCATGAAAACGAAATGGTACGCTGGTGGTTGTCCAATTGGTGTGAATTGGCTAACCCGTTGAATCTAACTGGTGGTCAATTAAATATCCCGTTGATTTCAAATGGTCAACCCATTAAGACTAAATGGTACGCAGGTGGTTGTCCACCTGGTGTGAATTGGCTGACCTGTTGAAGCTAACTGGTGGTCAATTGGAAACCCCATTGACCTCAAATGGTCAACCCATTAATACTAAATGGTATGCAGGTGGTTGTCCACCTGGTGTGAATTGGCTGACCTGTTGAAGCTAACTGGTGGTCAATAGGAAACCCCATTGACCTAAAATGGTCAACCCATTTATACTAAATGGTATACTGGTGGTTGTCCACTTGGTGTGAATAGGCTGACCTGTTGAAGCCAACTGGTGGTGAATAGAAAACCCGTTGACCTGAAATGGTCAACCCATTGAAAATTAATGGTAGGCACGTGGTTGCCCGGCAGGTCTCAGTAGACTAACCCGTTGAAGCTAACTGGTAATCCTGTGGTTCCAGATGTTTGGCCCACTGATCGTAACTGGCATTCCAAACAGCCCCCAATTCATTCTAGTTGGTAAGCAAATTCAATGTGGCTGGTAACCACATGACTTCCCACATTGTTGCAAATGGTCAGCACTTTGATGGTAATTGAGACTCCAATGATTCCATATGTTTCAATAAAAGGTTGAGTTGGGCTAGTTGATACATACTTGGATACATGCAGCGCGAACTTAGACAAAGAACACAGACAAGCGCTCGTCTGCGTTGTGACTCTCTGGTCTTCGACCAAGCTGCACTGCATGTATCCAGATGATTGGCCCAGTGACAAAAGCTGGTGTTTAGCCAGTCACCATTCTACCTGGTAAGCCAATTTAATATGGCTGGCCATTAGTTTCTGGTAAGCACTTGGTTGACGCTAAATTGCTAACTGCATTTCAGCCAGCCAGTGGTTGGTATACAGAGAGAGCCAACTGAAGCTAAGTAGTAGTGTAGTAATTGCAGTCTCTTGGCTGACCTATAAACATGATTATCACATTTCTGCGGATGCAAGTAGAAAATGACAATCCTGTAGAAGGCTGGCTGTCATCACACTGCACTTCATTAATTGCAATTTCACAACACAGTGGAAACAGCACAGGCTGGATTACCTAGTGTGAATGTGACATTAATGCACAC